GGGCCACTGCTGGTACCAAAGCTCTGGTTCCTGGTGGAGTCCAGTCGAAGGAAGGAAGTCCACTCTGGGTCCCTTCGTGGTCGCCATAACTGTTGACTAAAAAAGACATACAACTTGAGAGTTGCGAGTTAAGTTTTATTTGGGACAAAGTGAGGACTGCAGGGAGGCAGCATCTCAGATAGCTCTGAGAGACTTCTCCAAAGCGGCAGTGGGGGAAAGTCAATACATAAGGTTTTGGAGAAAGTGAAAGTGAAGTCGCTCAGTCGTGTCCGACTCTTTGCCACCCCATGGACTCTAGCCTACCAGGCTCCTCGGTCCATGGGATTCTCCAGGCAAGAGTACTGGAGTGGGTTGCCATTTCCTTCTCCAGGGGAATCTTCCGGACCCGGGGATCAAACCCAGGTCTCCCGCATTGGAGGCAGATGCTTTAACCTCTGAGCCACCAGGGAAGCCCAAACTAACAGCTGAGACATCGCTAGATTCAAAGCCGAGTTAGGTTCTAGAGAAGGAGGAGTTCAATACCATGAAGCACTCATTTTGCAAAAGGATTTTTGTTAGCTATGAGGATCTATCTGATGTCACCATGAAGGGATTTAGTGCTTCTCTAGATATGAGGAGATGCAAGGATTGAGATCATAAAATCCATTCCTAAAAACATCCAACTATCTAAAGACCTGTCCCACCAGATTCCCTGGAGCACAGAGCGCCTCACTCCGCCCTGAGCTCCCTCATGGGTGGTTGGAGGTCACCAGCTAGAGCAGCAGGGGTTCAATCGTAGAGGCAGATGGCAAATGCCTTTGTTGTTCATTCACTGGCAATGCTCTTGGTAAGTGCCCATTTTTAGTTGCCATGATGATGCCTGATTTTTTTAAAAGTTTATTGGACCATTTAAAAAGTCTTTATTGAATTTGTTACAATGGTGCTTCTATTGTTTATGTCTGACCTTTTGGCCAATGAAGCCTGTGGGATCTTAGCTTCCCAACAAGGGATTGAACCTCCCCCCCTTCATTGGAAGGTGAAGTCTTAACCACTGAACCACCAGTGAAGTCCTGATGCCTGATTTTTAAAAGTCTAAATTAGATCATTTCCGTTTGCTGTTGTTTAGTCACTCGGTCGTGTCCCCCTCTTTGCGACCCCAAGGACTGCAGCATGCCAGGCTCCTCTGTCCTTTGCCATCCCCCGAAGCTTGCTCAAATTCATGTCCATTGAGTCAGTGATGCCATCTGACCATCTCGTCCTCTGTCGTCCCCTTCTCCTCCTGCCTTCAATCTTTCCCATCATCAGGGTCTTTTCCAGTGAGTTGGCTCTTCGCATCAGGTGGCCAAAGTATTGGAGTTTCAGCTTCAGCTCCAGTCCTTATAATGAATATTCAGAATTGATTTCCTTTAGGATTGACTGGTTGAATCTCCTTGCAATTCAACAGACTCTCAAGAGTCTTCTCCAGCACCACAGTGCAATACCGTTACTCACTTCCTAAATAAAGTTTCAACTCTATTCCTCTCTCTCGGCTTATGTTACTGTCATTCACAATTTTACTTACACTCTGTTTTTATACCCCCCAAATCAGTCTCAGTCACTGTTATTATTATATTATTGCTTTATACAGACATTTGTTTTTATTTACTCATACATTTATCCACTTATTTGTTCACAATTCCTTCTTGCCTTTCTGTCCTTCCTTCTATGGAGAATTTCCTTCTTCTGATGGCATATCCTTTAGACTTCCTTCAGTGAAGGTCTGTTAGTGAATAACTCTGTTTGTATTATTTTGAGTGACAGCTAGCTTTTTGCCATCTATCTTCTGGCTATCATTATTGCTCTTGGCCAATCTGCTTTTAAATTTCATCGTGATTCCTTTGCAGGTATTGTGTTTTTTTATCTCTGATTGTCTTTAATTTTTTTCTCTTTGTCTTTGGTATTCTGAAGTTTTATTATAAAAGACTATTGACTTTTATTTATTTAATTCCTGGAGAAGGGCATGGCAACCCAGTCCAGAATTCTTGCCTGGAGAATTCCATGGACAGAGGAACCTGGCAGACTACAGTCCATGGGGTCACAAAGAATCAGGACAGGACTGAGCAACTGGCACTTTTTTTTTCTTTTTTCATTGCATAGCATAGGCAGGTATATTCAATATTCTGTAATAACCTATAATGGAAAAGAATCTGGAAAAAAATTACACACACACACACACACACACACATATATACTTAATCACTTTGTTGTACACCTGGAACTAACACAACATTGTAAATCAACTACAGTTAAAAAAAAAAAAAAAAAAACCTGCTCGAAGTTCACTGTCCAGGAGAATTTTGGGCAATTCTCCACTAGCATCTCTTTGACTATGACCTTTCCAATGTCCTCCACCAATTTCTATTCTTCTGAAACTCCAATTAGATATATTTTAAACCTTTCCTTTCGCTCCTTCCTGTCTCTTAACCATTCTTCCATATTTCCCATCTCTCTCCTTGTGCAGCCTTTTGAGAAATGTCCTCAGATCCACTTTCTAGACCAGAGCTTTTTGGCTGGCTAATCTCTTCTGCTCTTTCACCTCCTCTTAAGGCTTTCCGTTTTCAGTGACTTCATTTTTCACTTCCAGAAATTCTACTTGATTCTTCTTCAAATCTGCCTAGCCTTTCATTAAGTAATCATGGTTTTGATTCCTTATTGTTTAATCATATTAAACATATTCAGATTTCCCTGGAAGTCCAGTGGTTAAAATTCCATGCTTCCGGTGCAGGAGGTATGGGTTCGATCCCTGGTCCAAGAACTAAGATCTCGTGCTGCAAGAAAAAGAAAAAGCTTATATATATATTCTATAACATAAACCAAAGAGTTATATGAAGTTCTTGGAAGTCTAATTCTATCGTATGACATTTCTGCTAACTCTTCTTCATATTTACTTGTGCATTTTGTAATTCTGCATTATGAGCTCAAATTCCTTGGGCCTTTATATGTGGAAATCTTGTGTGACCTGAATAAGAGAGTATATCCCTCTAGAGAAATTCAAAGTTTGCTTTCTAATAATGTCAATATTATTCGGGTGCCCTGTTTGTTTTTCTCAATACTTAGGACATACTTATACTAAAGATGATTCATTATCTGACATTCAAATTTATTTGGACTCCTATATTTTATCTGGCATTTCTACTGATGTGAAACCCAAGTCTTGTCTAGCCATTCCTAAAATGTTGTTAAACCCTCAGCATCTTACCAAAACTGGCAAGCAAAACAAAATAAAACACAAATGCAAAAAACCCTCCACTTTATCACTCTGGATTCCATTCTTTTTTTCTTGGTTTTGATTTCCTTTCAATTTTTTAAAATATAACTTTATTTATTTTTGGTTCTTCTGGGTCTTCATTGCTCTGCAGGCTTTTCTCTAGTTGTGGAGAGTGGGACTACTCGCTCGTTTCAGTGCATGGGCTTTTCATTGCGGCGGCTTCTCTTGCTGGGAGCATGGGCTCTCGGGCCTGCAGGCTTCAGCAGCTGTAGCTCGCAGGCTCTAGCTGTGGACCATAGACTTAGCTACTCCTCAGCATGGGGGATCTTCCCAGATCAGGGACTGAATCCGTGTCTCCGGCATTGGCAGGCGGGTTCTTTACCACTGAGCCACCAGGGAAGCCCTCCTTTCAGTTTCTGACCCTTAGAAGAGTTCCATACTTTCAAAATGAAGTCTTTAGCATAGTTTTTTGCTTAAAGCCAAAAAGCTTGCAGGTCACTTTTATTTCTTATTTTACTTTATTGAGGTATAATTCTCATGTGACATAATACTATTTCCAGGTGTACAACATAATGATTTGATATTTGCACGTATTAGGAAATGATCACCATAATAAATCATTAACATCCATTATTACACAGTTGCAATTTTTTTCTTATGATGAGCAATTTCAAGATCTATTCTCTTAGCAACTTTCAAATACAGTATTAGTAACTATCCCCAAGACCTTTTTATAATTGAAAGCATGTACCTTTGACTCCCTCAGGCATTTCATCCACACCACTCTCCCACCAATCCCTGCCTCTGGCAACCACCAAGCTAGTCTCTGTATCTTTGAATTAGTTTGGGGTTTTTTTTTAGTTCCACATATATATGAGATCATATGGTTTGCAGGCCACCTTGGCTTCTTGATGTACTTTCCTGCTGGCTCAGATGGTAAAGCGTCTGCCTGCAATGCGGGAGACCTGGGTTTGATCCCTGGGTGGGGAAGATCCCCTGGAGAAGGCAATGGCAACCTTGCCTGGAATACCCTTGCCTGGAAAATCTCATGGACAGGAATCTGGTAGGTTACAGTCCATGGGGTCGCAAAGAGTCATACACGACTGAGTGACTTCACTTTTTCAACTTCTTGAATTCCCACATCCCTCTCCTAAGGCAACCAGTACATCCTAGTACATCTCACTAGGATGGAGAAAGGGTAAAATAGAGAGAAAGTGACAAAGTGAAAGTGTGGGCCACAAAGTCGTGTCCGACTCTTTGCATCCCCGTGGACTGTAGCCTGCGAGGCGCCTCTGTCCATGGGATTCTCCAGGCAAAAATACTGGAGTGAGTTGCCTTGCTCTTCTCCAGGGATCTTCCCCACCCAGGGATGGAACCTAGGTCTCCCACATCATGGGCAGATTCTTTTTTTTTTTTTTTTAGTTCTACCACTTTATTGCTACCAACCCATCTCCCTCCACCCTCGTGCACACATGCTCAGTCATGTAACCCCATGGACTGCAGCCCGCCAGGCTCCTCTGTCCATGGACTTTTCCAGGCAAGAATACTGGAGTGGGTTGCCACTTCCTTCTCCAGCGGGCAGATTCTTTACGGTCTGAGACACTAGGGATGCTGCAGAGAGCAGCAAATATGATCCAGCCACACGGGTGAAGAGTTTGGCTAGAGTCAGTGATCGTGGGAGGTCATTGCACTGATTAAAAAAGGCTCATCTCTTCTTCTTGTGCTACAGCAAAGACTTCTTGGCAAGCCCAGCAGAAGCCCAGGGACCCGCCCCATGGAGATATGCCTGAAGATAGAGGCAGCCAATGGCTCCATCGATGGCTTGAATTTCAACCCCATGAAGGAGTACATGATCCTGAGCGGTCCCCAAAAGATCGCTATTGCAGTGCTGTGCACCCTCCTGGGCCTGCTGAGTGCCCTGGAGAACCTGGTTGTTCTCTACCTCATCGTGTCCTCACACCGGCTCCGCAAGAAGCCCTCCTACCTGTTCATTGGCAGCTTGGCTGGGGCCGATTTTCTGGCCAGTGTGGTCTTTGCCTCCAGCTTTATACATTTCCATGTCTTCGATGGCGTGGATTCCAAAGCTGTCTTCCTGCTGAAGATCGGCAGCGTGACTCTGACCTTCACGGCCTCCCTAGGCAGCCTGCTGCTGACTGCCATCGATCGCTACCTCTGTCTGCGCTACCCGCCTACCTACAAAGCTCTACTCACCCGTAGGAGGGCACTGGTGACCCTGGGCATCATGTGGGTGCTCGCCGCACTGGTGTCCTACCTGCCCCTCATGGGATGGACCTGCTGTCCCAGGCCCTGCTCTGAGCTTTTCCCCCTGATCCCCAATGACTATCTGCTGAGCTGGCTCCTGTTCATTGCCGTCCTCTTCTCAGGCATCATCTACACCTACACGCATGTCCTGTGGAAGGCCCATCAGCACGTAGCCAGCTTGGCTGAGCACCGGGACAGACACCTGTCTGGAATGGCCCGGATGAGGTTGGATGTGCGGTTGGCCAAGACCCTGGGGATGCTCCTGGCTGTGCTGTTCATATTCTGGTTCCCAGTACTGGCCCTCATGGTCTACAGCCTGGCTGCCAGGCTAAGCGAACAGGTCAAGAAGGTGTTTGCCTTCTGCTCCTTGCTCTGCCTGGTCAACTCCATGGTCAACCCCATTATCTATGCCCTGCGGAGTGGGGAGATCCGGTCCTCTGCCCACCACCGTCTGGCCCACTGGAAGAAGTGCGTGAGGGGCCTTGGGCCAGAAGGAAAAGGAGAGATCCCCAGGTCCTCAGTCACTGAGACAGAGGCTGATGTGAAAACCACCCCGGGGCTAGATTCCAGAGAGCTATCCTGGCCTGATGAGCTTTGATCACTGATGTGATCACTTTCACAGTGTGAAATAAGCCGAGTCAGAAGTCATTTCACTCCCCGGAGGAGGAAGAGTGGCCTTGATCCTCTCATCTGACTTGAACCAGCCCTAGAGGCCTGGACACTGAAGTGTTGGTACTGACCTCTGGAAGGCAGCCTGGTCATGCCTGTCTGCATGACCTGATCACAGTCTGTTGGGCAGCCAGGCCCTGTGAGGGATGCAAGGTGGGCAGGGGGCAGGAGACAGGAGGCCTGGGACAGGCTCAGGGCAGGTCAGAACCACCTTCCCAATAAGACAGCTTCGTGCCTGAATTCTCCAGAGACCCCAGGAGCCAGGTGGAGCTTTTATGCTCAGCAATGAGGGGCCTGGAGGAGATCTAGGAAGAATGGATCATTCTCCTGGGATCTCAGGATATCAGATGGGATAGCTGGCCAGCCCTTCTTCCTGCTTAATTGTTAGGGGCCTCCTTGGTTTTAGAGCTATAGCTGAAGGTCACCCTTCCCACAGAGGGCCAAGAATTAAAATGTGATGAGGATCAAGGATGTCTATTCACCTCTTGCAGAGGTAACTGACAAGCCTCCAGTTCAGAGCATCTTATTATTGGGGCAGTGGCCCTCTCTGATACCCTGATAATCCCCACTCACAATCACAGTGTCTCCTAGGGACCTGGGGAATACAGAGGAGGCTGGGATCGCTTGAGATGCAGAATCTTCAGAGAATTCTGTTGGTCTTGCTAAGTCCTTTTTGGTGGTACCACTGGAAGCAGGCAGTGTGCCAATCTAATCCAACTCCAAGAAAAAGGAAGATATTCACAAAGATTTTATAACTCCCCAAATTGTTCCCAGCCATCCCTCAACTCAGCCCCTTTGTCTCCTCTACCACCCGAACCCTGGAATAAATGATAAACAGAGCAAGCGGGAGGAGGGGGAAACTCCCTTACTATGTGCCAGGCATAGGGCTGATGTCCTACAGTCCATCAGCTCCAGCAAGGATTCAGCCCCATGCTTTTGAAGATCCCAGGATACCCATGTTTTACATTATTAGGGAGGCTGGATTCCTACCAAAGGGGCTTAAAGCAGTAGGCGGGAAAAATTATTGATGGTAAGGAGGATGCATAAGAATTCTGATGCAATTATTTGGGGCTACAGATGGAATAAAAGGAAATGTAATGATTGAATGTGTCTTCATTTAATATTTACAAGACAAGGGGTTCACCATTCATTCATTCATTCATTCATCCAACCATCTCACCAGTACCTGCTAGGCTCTGTGCTAGATCCTGGATATCCAGCCATAAATGAGACTCTGCACCTGTCTAATGGGGCTCACATTCTACATTCTGCTGGGAATAGAGCCAATGAAGAAAAAAACTTGATGATTACTGGTGGTACAATGAAAGGAATCATCAAGATCGTGGAAGAGAGATTAATTGAGGCAACTTTAGGTAGGGTAGACCTACTATGTGCTTTGGTCATGAGTCGATTCGCATTTATTGAGATGTTACTATGTTCCAGGCACTGGGCTAAGTGCTTTTATGTATTTTAAATAATTTATGTATTTTAAATTATTTGGCTGTGGTGCGTCTTAGTTGAGACACAAAGGATCTTCCATCTCCGTTGTGGCACTGGGGATCTCTTAGTTGCAGCATGTGGAATCTAATTCCCTAACCAGGGATTGAATCCAGGACCCCTGCATTCGGTGTGCGGAATCTTAGCCACTGGACCACTAGGGAAGTTCCTGGGCTAAGTGTTTTTAAATGAGGAATCTCAGTCTCACAATAATCTGATGAAGAGGGTTTGGTAGCCTCAGTTTACTGAAGAGGACAATCTCTAAGAGGCAAAAATCACTTGACTGAGATCACACTACTAATATGTACCCAAAGCTGGGGTTTTCAACCCAGTTCTGTTTGACTGCTAAGCCTACCCTCTTTACCACTAACTTCTTGGCCTAGTTCAGTCAAATTCTGCTTGATTTGGATAGTAATAATAAACAAGCCTACAAATAATAATCAGACTTCAATAATAATAAGCCTAATAGTGACAAATATGTATAAAGTATAAGTGATAATATGACTTATTAAATATAATACTAATATTGAATTTTCATAACACCAAACTGCTGCAACCTTATCATTATGTCTCAACATACTTCATTTTATGCCCTATATTAACTTCCTACAGCAACTTTCCACAAACTGAGGGGCTTATAACAACAGAAATTTATTCTTTCACAGTTCTGAACTCGAGAAACTAATCAAAGTGTCAGCAGGGCCACACTCTCTCCAAAGTTTCCCGGGAAGGATGTTGTTGTTGTTCAGTTGCTAAGTTGTGTCCAACTCTTTTGCCATCCCATGGACTGTAGCCCGCCAGGTTCCTCTGTCCATGGGATTTCCCAGGCAAGAATACTGGAGTGGGTTGCCATTTCCTTTTCCGAGGGATCTTCCTGACCCAGGGTTCAAACCTGCGTTTCTTGTATTGGCAGGTGGGTTCTTTAGCACTGAGCCTCCTGGGAAGCCCCCAGGGGGTGGACACTTACTCGCTTTTTCCAACTTCTGGCAGCTCCTTGTGCCTACCTCTGCCTCTGTGTTCACGTGGCCTTTCCCCACTCTCTGTTGCTGCGTGTCTTTTTTTTTTTTCAGTTGAGGTATAGCTGATTTCCAGTGCTATTACTACATTAGTTTCAGGTATAAAACAATGATTCAACATTTTTCTAGACAAATAAATTCCATTAATTTATTATAAATATTGGCTATATTCCCTGTGTTGTACAATATATCCTTGTAGCTTATTTATTTTATACATAGTAGTTCAAACCTTTTAACCCCAACTCCTCTTGTCCCTCCCCGCTTCTCTCCCCACCAGTAACTACTAGTTTGTTCTCTACATCTGTGAGTCTGTTTTTGTTTTGTTATGTTTATTTTTGTTTGTTTTTTAGATTCCATACATAAGTGATAACATATGCACTGTTTCCCTGTCTGGCTTATTTCACTTAGCATAATACCCTCCAGGTCTATCCACGTTGTTGCACGTGGCAGAACTTTATTCTTTTTCACGACTGGGTGGTATTCCATTCCACAGCCTCTTTATCCATTCATCTGTTGATGGGCATTTAGGTTGCTTCCAGTTACTATAAATAATGCTGCTATGAACATTGGGGCTCAGGTATCCTTTCAGATTAGCATTTTCATCTTCTTTGGATATATGCCCAGGAGAGGAATTGCTGAATCATGTGCGAGCTCTATTTTAGTTTTTTGAGGAATCTCTATTCTATTTTCCACAGTGGTTGCACAAATTTATGTTACTACCATCAGTATATGAGGATTCCCTTTTCTCCACATCCTCATCAACATTTGTTACTTGTGTTCTTTTTGATGAGAGCCATTCTGAACAGATTGAGGTGATATCTCATTGCAGTTTTGATTAGCATTTTTCTAATAATTAGCAATGTTGAGCTTCTTTAAATTTGTCTGTTGGCTGTATGTCTTCTTTGGGAAAATGTCTATTCAGGTCTTCTGACTATTTTTCAATCAGATTGTTTTGTTATATTGTGTTGTATGAACTATTTATACATTTGGGATATTAACCCCTTATTAGTCATATCATTTGCAAATATTTCCTCCCATTCAGTAGGTTGTCTTTTCATTTTGCTGATGGTTTCCTGTGCTGTGCAAAAGCTTTTAAGTTTAATTAGAGCCTATTTATTTTTTATTTTGTTTCCTTTGCCTTAGGAGACAGATTGTAAAAAAAAATAGGGCTATGTTTTATATCAAAGAGTGTTCTGCCTATGTTTTCTTCTATTTATTTTATTTAGTTCCAGTCTTACAATTAGGTCTTTTATCTTGGTGTCTTTTTTTAAGGACACCATTCATTGGATTAAGGCGTTCATCTTAATTTAACAAATGACATCTCCAAAGAAGGGAACATTCACAGAATTTGAGTGGACATGAAGTTTTGGGGGACACTCTTCACCCCCTACAGCCCCCAAGGACAAAACCCAACCTCCTAATACACCCCACCTCATGGACTGTGTTAAGTGGGGTCATGGGCTTGTCTTCCCCCACAAGATGAGCTCCTTGTTCACCTCTTGGTTCCCCGGGTTCCTTGAAGAACCATTATAGAGTCTTAAGGGAGTTGGTCAATATCTGTGGCACTGAACTGCTTCTGAAAAGCTTTAATTGCACTTAGGAAAATAGGATTTTATTTTAACTCAAATAGCTATCTTTTTGTAATGTAAAGAAATGGGATGGTTTTTTAAAGGTGAATATGTGACTCCTTAAACTTGGGACTGAAGTGACTTAGCAGCAGCAGCAAACTTGGGACACGCCATTCTTTATTCATTGATGGGGTCTTTTCTCATTTCAGCTAAAAAAATGCCCAAGTGGCATAAGTTGATAATCAGTAAATATTTTTTTAATGAATAAAACTAGAGTTTAAAAATCGTTGAATTAAATGCACTTCCACATTTTCTTCCTCTCTCCTTTCACAATCACACCCTATTTCTGCTTTAAGTAAAGAAGCAGAGTTTATGGAGGGGGAGAGCAAGGGAGAAAGCGGACCCCAGATATCACTGAGAACTCATTGTTTAGATGAGGAAATGGGCCCAGGCAGTGGACAAGACCTGCCCAAGGAGACCCAACAAGGTGGTGTCTAATGCAAGAAACCTAGGTTTCCCAGCTTCCAGTTTTTCCAGGCTGTTACAATGCCTCTCACCTGTGCCTGCAGATTTACGTTTTGGCTACGAGGCTAAGGAGGAATAAAGGTCATGGTGTCCTATTTTATATTCCCCAAGATGAGCTCTGTAGCATCAAAGACCATTACTCACCCTGATCACTAGAAGTCATGTACGAATGTTTTGTTGTTGTTTTAAGTGTCTGGGCTTGCTGTTGTGGACAATATTACAACATAACCTTGCAAAGGAAGTAACAAGATAAAATGGTTGTTCACTGAGCAACAGCCATTCTGTTTATCACTCCTAGAATGAGGAAGTGCTGGCTTCTGTCAACACAGGCTTTGACAGGCTCTTTTGCACCTCCTGGGGTACAAGAGAGAAGTAGCATTTGAGAGCCACAGGTTCTGCATCTGCAGACCTGGGTTCTGGTCCCACTGCGGATCCAAACTAGTTACCTGATCTTGGACAACTCCAATCCCCTCTCTGGGTCTTAGTTTCCTCTTTCTTAAAATGGGAAGAAGAGTAAAAAACAGGATGGTGTCAAAGATCTCCAGAGTTCCTTCCAGCTCCATCCTGCAGCAGTTCTCTCACTGATACGGAGGTACCAAGTGTGCAGTCGGGGTGGTCAGCAGACTTCCCACACCTGATGACCTCACTACCTACCTGAACAGGCACAGCATCTACCAGTTGTAGAATCTACTGACCTGCCAGCCAGACAAGGTTCCCAGAGACACTGCTTAGGCCTGAGGCTCTCAATTTTCTCACTGTTTCTCTAAAAATATTCCTTTGAGTCCACCTGTGCGTAGATCTTGATTTTCTAAGTAGATGTCAAGCTCTCTGAATTGCCTCAAAAGTCCCAAAGCAAGTTCAAGACACGTGCGTGTGTGTTAGTCACTCAGTCGTGTTCGGCTCTTTGCGACCCCATGGACTGTAGCCCACCAGGCTCCTCCATACATGTGATTTTCCAGGCAAGAATACTAGAGTGGGTTGCCATTTCCTGTTCGAGGAGATCACCCCCACCCTAGAATCAAACCCCAGTCTCCCGCATTGCAAGCAGATTCTTTACTATCTGAGCCACCAGGGAAGGCCCTTCAATATACACTAGACAAATTTTGGCAAAATAGTTACACCTGTGGGATTGCAGCGTCAGACATGACTGAGTGACTGAACACACATGGAAGAGAAAGTCAGGAGGCAGGAATACCAGATGGAAGAGCATTGTCACAGCCTGGCAGAAATGGGGGCAGAAGGATGATGGGAGGAAGCATTATAAGGGCAGACATGGGAGGACCTGTTCTTTCAGCGCCCACTTTCCTCCCACCTCTCCCCTGATAATGCTTTCTCCCATCGTCCTCTGCCCCCATTTCTGCCAGGGTTGTGACAATGCTCTTCCATCTGGTATTCCTTCCTCCTGACTTTCTCTTCTATGTGTGTGTTCAGTCACTCAGTCATGTCTGACTCTTTATCATCCCACGGACTGCGGCCATTTCCTCCTTCAGGGGATCTTCCCTACCCAGGGATCAAACCTGCATCTCTTGCATCTCCTGCATTGGCCTGCGAATTCTTTTTATACAACTGCACCACCTGGAAAGCCCTTTCTCTTCTATAATACAACTCAAAGAGCCCCTTATCCCTGTTTATCTAACCTATATGCAGAGTACATCATGCAAAATGCCAGGCCAGATGAAGCACAAGCTAGAATCAAGATTTCCAGGAGAAATATCAATAACCTCAGATATGCAGATGACACCACCCTTATGGCAGAAAGCAAAGGGGAACTAAAGAGCCTCTTGATGAAGGTGAAAGAGGAGAGTGAAAAAACTGGCTTAAAACTCAACATTCAAAAAACTAAGATCATGGCATTCAGTCCCATCACTGCATGGCAAATAGATGGGGAAACAATAGAAACGGCGATAGGCTTTATTTTCTTGGGCTCCAAAATCACTGCAGACGGTGACTGCAGCCATGAAATTAGACACTTGCTCCTTGGAAGAAAAGCTATGAGAAACCTAGACAGCATATTAAAAAGCTGAGACATTACTTTTCCAGTAGTCATGTATGGATGTGAGAGTTGAGCCATAAAGAAAGCTGAGCGCCAAACAATTGATGCTTTCCAATTGTGGTGTTGGAAAAGACTCTTAAGAGTCCCTTGGACTGCAAGGAGATCCAACCAGTCCATCCTAAAGGAGATCAGTCCTGGGTGTTCATTGGAAGGACTGATGCTGAAGCTGAAACTCCAATACTTTGGCCACCTGATGCGAAGAGCTGACTCACTGGAAAAGACCCTGATGCTGGGCAAGATTGAAGGCAGGAGAAGGGGACGACAGCGGAGATGGTTGGATGGCATCACCGACTCACTGGACGTGAGTTTGAGTAAACTCCGGGAGTTGGTGATGGACAGGGAGGCCTGGCGTGCTGCGGTCCATGGGGTCGCAAAGACTCGGACACGACTGAGCGACTAAACGGCAACAACAAATAGCTCCCAACAGTAACGTGTTCTCTGCACACACCGTACCTTTAACACCCCCCCCCCGACACCCACAATTTCACCCGGCAGTGAATTCTCTTCTGAAGTGTTCAATCAGTGGTCACCCGAGCGTGCCCCTTTCTCCCTTTGAGCGCCGGAGGGTGGCAGGGACCACCCGCCCACCTGGAGGAAAGACTCCCGGTAGCCAAGCAGCCTGGGTTGCCCCACCCCCTTTTCCCTTCCGAGCCAATCAGGAACTAGGGTGGGCGGGACCGCTTGCCCCGCACCTGCGCGTTAAGAGGTGGGCGGTGAGGCACCGAGTCAGCTGTGCCGCACCGCGTGATGAGGTCGTGGGTGGTGGTCGCCGGGCTGTTGCTTCTGCTGCAGCTGGTGCTGGTGCTCGGAGCGGTGCGGCTCCCGCGCTGCACCGACCCTCGGCGCTGCACCGTGCCTCCGCGCCGCTACACCCCGGACTGGCCGAGTCTGGACTCCCGGCCGCTGCCGGCCTGGTTCGATGAAGCCAAATTCGGGGTGTTCTTGCACTGGGGCGTGTTCTCGGTGCCTGCCTGGGGCAGCGAGTGGTTCTGGTGGCACTGGCAGGGCGAGAAGCTGCCGCAGTACGAGAGCTTCATGAAAGAGAACTACCCGCCGGATTTCAGCTACGCCGACTTCGGGCCAAGGTTCACGGCGCGCTTCTTCCACCCCGACAGCTGGGCTGACCTCTTCGAGGCCGCCGGGGCCAAGTGAGTGACGCCGCCGCGGGAGCGGCCGGGAAGCCCCTACCCGGGCGAGGGCTGACCCTCGAGCGCCGGGAGTGCCTTAGGCTGGTGGGAATCGAGCGGGGTGGGGGCGGGGAGGAGGCGAGGAGACTTGCCGGATCACACAGGTGTCCCTGTGACCGCAGATGTTGCGGGTACTTTGTTTTGCCTCCCGAAGGATGCAGAATTGTATGTGGCACGCCAGATCTTACGGTTGAGGATTAGAAGGAAATAAAGGTTTCAGGTTGGTGGTGGACTTGGGAAGACCTGAGTATGGGGGAGGATTGAGCTAGGTGATACCTAAAGTGAGTCCCCTGCGGGTCAGCAAAACAATCAAGGTTCCAGGATTTTAAGCCAGAGGTCGGGAGTCTGATCCTAATTCAGCTGTGAACTTGAACAAGGCCTTTTACCTCCCTACGGCCTCCTTCCCTGGCTGTACCCAGGAATTGTGTTCTTCCTTTCAGCTTTAATATGTCCCAGAGGGAAGGAAGTTCTGGTGCCCAGTGTATTTGGGCAACAATATAGACTGTGCCATCTGCTCTTCTCAATGCCTTGCACATAGAGAGTGCTCGTGAAATTGTTTTGAGAACTGTTGCAGCTTGCATGTGAATGGTTCAGAGAACTGAAAGTGTAGAGCTTTGATGGGGGGAGGCTAGGACTCCCAAGGCTGTTGAAGGCTGGGGCCGGTCCTGAAGGAGTCATCCTTGAAGGCAGGATGTTGCAGGTATTAAGTCAAGGAATGGTGACCCTCAGCTTCAAGGATGAGCTTCGCGGCTGAGAGAGCAGTGGTTTGGAGGAGAGTGAGAATGAAGGCAGGTAGGTTTCCCAGCCTCTGGCTTAGGGCAGTCTTCCACCATTATCTTGTCTCAGACGACCCAGGTTTTAGTTTCTCTTGGACTTTAAGTCCTCATGTACTAAAGAGAAATTACAACTGATATTTAGTGTTTGCAATTAAATGCATGGGAATATAAGGCTTGACTAAACCGAGGAGGAGTTACCTGTCTTTCAGAAGCCTTAGAAATCCATAATTTTCAAATGAAGAAGTTAAAATCTGGGAGATATCCTTTGTCCAGGTCAAATGCCCCTACTATGGACAAGGTGCTGCTGCTACTGCTAAGTCACGTCGGTCGTGTCCGAGTGGGACAAGATGACCGGCCCAGATAGAGGAAGGGAACTAATGTCCTGGACTCCAAATCCCATGAGCCTAAGACGAAGGTTCTTTCCACCACACCAGGAGTCTGTAACCTTAACTAGAGGGATCGGTCCTCTGCCTGGTTTTTTGTAAGTTTCTTGAGAAAGATTTTTACATTTTCAAAAACCTGTTTTTAAAAAGTAGAAGAAGAATATGCCACAGAGAGGACTGTGGTCCCCAGAGCCTGAAATACTGTCTAGCCCTTAAAATCCTGAGCCTCCCTCATCAGCCGGGGATTAAATCATCCTTTTGGGCACCGTTTTTCTGTGACAAAAGTAAATGAAATGTTGAGTGATTTGATTGTTATTTCAACACTTGCCTTTTCTCCCCTTTTTCTTTTGGCCTTTTGTCACCTTTGTAAATGAGAGGCAGTTGATATGGGCTTGATAAACACCTTACTTTTCTATCGTCTGCTCTTTCAGTAGAGGTTTCTTTCTCCTTTAGGGCAAAGGGTTGGTTTTTGTTTTTTTAAATGCTTTACATTAATACACAGAAGAGCTCCAGAACTGGAGAGCCAGTTTATACATATTTTCCCTTACCTATTCCTTTCTTCTTTCCTTCCTAGTCTCCTTCTTGTCTGGGAACTAAGGACTGTGGCTTCCTCAAATTTGCTTTCATTCCTGGAACAATACCCAAGGGGTGTTGTGACTGATGCACCTCCCTGGGTATCACTCATACAAGTTCAGTTGACCTTTGAACAACACAGGTTTGAACTTCTTGGGTCCACTTATATGCAAATTTTTTCCTCAAATTTTTTCTTTGTGTTTGGGCTAGACCACTTCAGTGTCTTTGTTGTTGAACTCTTGGGGTTCTAGGTGGCCAGGGCATTGTCCAATAGTAAAAGAACTTTAAAACGCAGTTTCTTACTGGCCAGGTACTTCCTGACTTCAGGGACATAGCACTGATGGAACCAATCCAGAAAAAGGGTTTTCGTTGGAAAAATTTTTGGAGATTTGTTATAATTTGAAAAAACTCAGAAATGTCAAAAATTAAGAAGAGAGTGTGTTACAAATGCGTAAAATATATAGATACTAGTTTATTTTACCATTTGTATGTGTCTGCTCAGCCACTCAGTTGTGTCTGACTCTTTGTGACCCCATGGACTGTAGCCCACCAGGCTCTTCTGGCTCTTAGGTCTCCTGCATTGGCAGGTGGGTTCTTTACCACTAGCGCCACCTGGGAAGCCCATATTAAATCATAAATGCATAAAATTAATCGCAGTACATACTGTACTACCGTTATAATTTTGTACCCACCTCCTATTGGTGTCCTGTTGGTGAACTCAACTGTTGTGTCCACTTAAGATGCCAAGTGATGCTAATCATTTTCACATGAGCACTTATCCCTCTGGTAAATTGCCTATTGCAGTAAAAAGTCATCTCTCATGTTCTCAAGTATTTTTCACCTTGTTTAGTGCAATATCATAAACCTTGAATAACACCTTGACACCCATTCAAAGCTCCCCCAGTGATGCCAGAAGTGCTCCCAAGAAGCGGAGAGAATTAACACTACAAGAAAAAGTTAAATTGCTTGATATGTATTGCAGATTGAGGTCTGCAGCTGCGGTTGCCCACTGCCCTTGCAATATAAATGAATCCAGCGTTAAAAAAAATAATAATAATGAAGCTGTCATTGCAACTATGCCATAAGGTGTGAAAAACCTTGCACTTCTTGCAAAATATCTTTTTATCTCATATTGAAAATGCAGCTTTGATGTGGATGCAGGATTGCTGTAAGAAAGGCATATATAAAGACACTAAAATGATTCGGAAAAAAGTAAAGTTGTTTCATGACAACTTAAAGCAAAAGGAAGGTGAAGGATCTAAAGCTGGAGAATTCAACACCAACAAAGGATAGTTTGATAATTTTCTAAAGAGGTTTGGCTTTTTAAATGTCAGGATGACAGGAGAAGTAGTTACTACCAACCATGAGTTCCCAGAGGCCACTGAGAAAATCATTGAGGAGAAAGGATTTCTGCCTATGCAGGGTGTTTTTTTTTTTTTTTCTCCTTTTGTTTTTTGGTGGCCTCGGATGGCATGCGAGATCTTAGTTGGCCGACCAGGGGGCAACGTGTGCCCCCTGCAGTAGAAGTGCAGAGTCTTAACCACCTTTCCACCAGGAAAACCCATGAACAGCTTTTTAATACAGAGTAAAGTGGACCTTCCAATGGGGGAGAAATGCCTCCAAGAGCATTTATTAGTAAGAAAGAGAAGTAAGCACCAGAATTTAAGGCAGGAAGGGACTGGCTAACTACTGTTTGATGCACATGCAATCAGGTTTATGATTAGGACTGTCCTTTTCTATAAACCTACTAATCAATGAGCCTTGAAGGGAAAAGATGACACAAACTGCCAGTCTTTTGGTTGTAAAGCAAGTAGGCCTGGACGACGAAAACCCTTTTTCTGGATTGCTTCCATCAGTGCTTTGTCCCTGAAGTCAGGAAGTACCTTGGAGTAAGAAACTGCCTTTTAAAGTTCTTTTAATATTGGACAATGCCCTGGCCACCGAGAACCCCAAGAGTTCAACAGCAAAGACATTGAAGTGGTCTACCCCAAGCACAGCATCTCTAATTCAACCTGCAGATCTAGGGGTCATAGGATCTTTTCTTTTTTTATTAATTGATTGATTGATTTGGTTGCATTGTGTCTTAGTTGTAGCAGATGGACTCTCCAGCTGTGGCATGCGGGCTTTGTTGCTCCGGGGCATGTGGGATCTTAGTTCCCTGACCAGGGATCGAACCTTCATCCCCCATTGCACAGCGGATTCTTAACCACTGGACCACCAGGGAAATCCCCATGGTGGACCTTAAGGATCTTTAAGGCTCATTACACATGGTACTCAATGGGAAGGATTGTCAACACAATGGAAGAGAACCCCAATATAGATAGCATCATGAAAGTCTGGAAGGATTACACCATTGAAGATGCCATTGTTATTATGGAAAAAGCTATAGCCCAAAACAATAAAATTCCTGCGGGAGAAAACTGTGTCCAGATGTTGTGCATGACTTCACAGGATTTACAACAGAGCCAATTAAGGACATCATGAAAGAGATATGGATATGGGGGCGGGAGGAAGGGAGAAGGGAGGTGCAGGGTTTCAAGATATGGGTCTTGGAAAAATTCAGGAGCTGGTAGACCTCATACTTGAAATAACATAAGACAGTTTGATGGAGGTAAGTGCTTCTAAACAAGTGCCAGACAATGAGGAAGAAGACATAGAAGAAGCAGTGCCAGAAAACAGATTGACGTTAGACAGTCTGGCAGAAGGATGCTGATTATTCAAGATCGCTTTTGACTTCTTTTACCACACTGACCCTTCTATGATATGATATGAAACTAAAGCAAACCGTGGAAGGAGGATTGGTATCATATTTGTCATTGGTTTGTCGTTATGTCGTGTCCAACTCTTTGCAACACCATGGACTGTAGCCCAGGCTTCTCTGTCAATGGAATTCTCCAGGCAAGAATACTGGAGTGGGTTGCCATTTCCTTCTCCGGGGGATCTTCCTGACCCAGGGATTGAACTTGCATCTCCTGCACTGGCAAGTGAGGTCTCACAGTCAGAAATATATGAGATGTTTCCATAATGTTACCCTGAATGCCCACCTCTCCTGCCTCCCTGTCCACCTCCTCCTCCTTTTCTAATGCCCACCTCTCCTGCCTCCCTGTCCACCTCCTCCTCCTTTTCTACCTCATCCACCCCTGAGACGGCAAGACCAACCCCTCCACTTCCTCCTCAGGGTACTCATCATGAACACCTTTATGATGATCCACTTCCACTTAATGAACAGTAAATAATCCTTATGCCATGTAGTTAATAAACCTATCTGTTGTGTAAGTGTATAAGTGTCTTCATGAAATCTGAGAACTCAATGGCAAGAACTGTATGAAACGTTTTGTGTCATCATCATTGCTGTCACCGCCTAAGTGTTCATCTGTAGAGATTGTCACATGCAAGATTGGCATGGAAGCAGATAGCCAATCCTTACATAAGCAGAAAGTAAGCGGTACTTAATACAAAATTAATATCTTTCCTTACTTTTTTAAAACATTGCTTTCAAAGAATTATATTACCATTCGGTATGTACCTCCTTCCAGTCCCCTCTCATAATTAAATAACTATGTATCAGACTGTTAAGGAAATTAAAATGGAGGTAGTCTTGTTCAGCCTTCAGAAGCAAGACACCAGGCTCTGACAAACTTCTAACCTTGCCTGGACCCTACCTGGACTATATACATGCCTGCCTGTAAGCACACCAGTTATTACCAGGAAGTCAGGCAGCACCTTGGTTAAGAGAGGGAGTGTGTCTTGGAATTTCCTGAGCCCCTGGAGGTCTGGAAAATCTTGTGACTCACAAGATGAAATAAACAGCATTGTAAAAGTTAAAGGAAAACCAGAGCTGCGTGCAAACTGATGATGATATCAGTTGTGTCCTGAGATTATAAACAGGAGCCCCCAAATCTGTAATTTGAAGTCTCACAGTGGGGTGGACGCACTGCCTGGGACCCTTTTCCCAGCTGGGACTCCAGATTGCTGTTACTCAGGACTTTCCAGCTCTGTTCAAGTCTGGATATAGGTTGGTGGCCCATTTTGGTGATATGCACACTGTTACTTCTGTCATTACTGTTTCTTTTCTCTTGACTGTATGTTGTAATTAAGTCAAATTATCTATTAAATATTGAAATTGTTTATTGTGTATGTAACCAGCAGTTTCTTTTGTTAACAAATCTTTCAAACCTAAAACAAAATTAAAACTTTCAGCAAAACTCAATTGATGCATGAGACAAGTGCTCAGGGCTGGTGCACTGGGATGACCCAGAGGGATGGGATGGGGAGGGAGGTGGGAGAGGGGTTCAGGATGGGGAACACATGTACACCCATGGCTGATTCATGTCAGTGTATGGCAAAAACCACTACAATATTGTAAACTAATTAGCTTCCAATTAAATAACTTAAAAAACCTCAACCTATCATCACATTCAAGTGACTTTTAAAAAAAATGTAACAATGTTTCCCATCCCATATTTTGAATGAGTATAATACCATATGCCATAAAAATGTTATAATGATTCATTCATTAGTGTATAAGCTAGGCTATCATGAAGCAATCACATTGATTGCACTAGGCTGCTATAAAGCAATCATGTTGCTGTTGCTTCATTATCAATGGATGAATCATTATAACTGCAAATAAATATGAATGGCTTTTTCACATTAGCTTTCCAGCTTTGATATTTAGTGTTAGTAATAACTAACGTCTACAGTGTTTAGTAATAACTAACGTCTACAGTGTTTTGTATCATGTAAGACAGTATTGCTGTAGATACTGACAGGTGGTTCATCTTGTAAACAGACAGTGTAAACTTATGGTAATACAGTACATATGCCCTATCTCCAACTAACAGCATTGTAAAGCAACTGTACTCCAATAAAATAAAATAAATTCAGTGCAGTACTATAATGTATTTTCTCTTCCTTATGATTTTCTTAAAAACATTTTCTTTTCTCTAGTTTACATCATTGTACAAATACAGCACATTATACATATAAAATACAAAATGGGTGTTAACCGACCATTTATGTTATTGGTAAGCCTTCCAGTCAAGAGTAGGCTATTAGTAGTTTAGGGCGAAGTCAAGAGTTACACATGGATTTTCTTCTGCACAGGGGTCAGCACACCCCTAACCACCATGTTGTTCAAGGGTCACCTGTACATTTCCTGTAGTTGAGTTCCCTCAACCGTTTTAAAAAGTCTCAGGCGTGCCAGGTAAGTTGGTGTTGGTGGCCCACTGCCTATTTCCTTTGTTCATATGGTTTCATTGTCCACAGATATGTGGTCCTGACGACAAAGCATCATGAAGGCTACACAAACTGGCCAAGCCCTGTGTCTTGGAACTGGAACTCTAAGGATGTGGGGCCCCATCGTGATTTGGTTGGTGAGTTGGGAACAGCCATCCGGAAGAGGTGCGTGTCCACAGTCACTCCATCATCACTTTTGATCTAACCAGCCAGTATCCCGTGCCTTCTCTACTCTTCTATGTTTTCTAAGTTTGCGTTTAACCAGTACATGGGAGGGCTTCTGGCCCTGCACTGGCAGTGTTTGAACCTTGACAGTTTTCATGTGACCAAAAGTGACAGCATCAGAGAAGTTCATGGCCCTTTCTGGTTAGGTGAAGGACACCTGGCATAGACCACAACGCTGCACTTGTGCTCTTTACAGGATTCTTACTGGGAAGCCTTCCAGCCTAGGGCCTTTTCCAGTATGTGTTAGAGGCCAGGGTTGTGTTCATCTCTGTGTCCTCCTCAGCTGTCAACGCAGAGCTTTGTAGGCTTTCATGGAAGGTTTAGATGAGTGGGAGATCAGGAGAGACCTGGAGAGGGCAGTTAAAGCAACAAAAAGGGAGGTAAGGCATCACTCCTGATTCTAGGTAATATTTCCTAATATCTGCCACTTAAGATGTAACTTCCCAAGGTCAAAGAGCTGGGAAGGGGCAGAAGTGGGATTTGAACCCAGGTATTCTGATTTTGGACCCTATTGTTCTGAGTATATTTGTCTGTAAGGAGGAAAATGGTATTTGTGTCATGCCCACTCAGCTCTGTTGTGATTTGGCAAACTTGATGTCCTCTTTAAGGGGTAGACCAGCTGACTATTTGTATAAATAAAGTTTGATTGGAATACAGTTGTGTTCATTCACTTATACATTGTCTCTGACTACTTTCAAGCTCTAATTACGGAATCGGGGTAGAGATAGCAAGGCCTACAAAGCCTCAAATATTATCTGGTCATTTAAAAAAGCATTTGCTGACTTATGTCACCTGTGAAACATTCTGTTTTCCAATATTGAGCTCTGCTAATAGTCCTGCTCTGAAAGTATGAGACGTTGATTAGATTTGGACCCTAAGAGCCTTGACTTTCAGCTTCTTTCTCTGTGTCTAGTTAGTCCCTGAATCACATGATGAAATTCTTAACTTCAGTTCTTTCTGCTTTATCTATGCCATTGCAAATGTTATCTTTACTTCTGTATTATAGCATTTCCAAAACACTCACTCTTCTTAATTCACAACAAGTTTTATTGTGTATATATAGGTAAATTTAACCATATTTTGTTTGAGGTATATTAAGGACTATTAATAAATCTTCTATGAAACAATAAACCTATACTCATTAATTTCAACTGCACAGAAAATGACACTACTGATTTTGTCTGAGTGATGAGATTTTGGATATTCTTGATATTTGTCCCTCTTTTCCAGTATCTCTTCAATATGTATTATGAGTAACAGAAAAAAAATTTTAATGGGACTATATGTTATTGAGATAATTGACTTAAAAGACAGAAAATGGTTTAAATAACATTTTGGTGTTAAGATAATTTATATATAAAAATAATTTGTTACTGCTAAGTCGCTTCAGTCGTATCCGACTCTTTGTGACCCCTTGGACTGTAGCCTGCCGGGCTCCTCTGTCCATGGAATTCTCCAGGCAAGAATACTAGAGTGGGTTGCCATGCCCTCCAGGGGATCTTCTGACCCAGGGATAGAACCTGACTCTCTTGTATCTCCTGCATTGGTAGATAGGTTCTTTACCACTAGCACCACCTGGGAAGCCTAATTTGTTATTTGTATCATCAAAAACAAAGTAAGCCAATCATTTTGCTTAAGTGAATGATGAGATAATTTAAGAAACTGGCTTAGGTCCTGACCGATGTATGCCCTATGGGTAAATTTCACTGAGATGTAAAAATGCTGGCAACTGATTTTTCTTAAAGTATCTTTTCTTTGCTTAATGACAGTTGCTGTCCTGTTTTTCTGTTTAAGGAACATACGCTATGGACTGTATCACTCACTTTTAGAATGGTTCCATCCTCTCTACCTACGTGATAAGAAAAATGGCTTCAAAACACAGTATTTCGTCCATGCAAAAACAATGCCAGAGCTCTATGACCTTGTTAACAGGTACAAAACAGAAATTGTTTAAGCCTTATGACTTTCATCAATGGCATCTGAGCTGCTTATACTGTTGAGAGGAAGAGGGTAGGGGTGGGATATGAAAAAAACTCTAGAAGACATCAAAGTAATAATGAGTAATCATTGTGTTAAGACAAAGTATGTTTTTCCTTTTTGATTTTCGAAACTTCTGTAGTTTGGTCATGCTGCCTTTCTAAACTGAAACAAAACTGAGGATGGTAGTAAGTCAGAACCTCAGTTACCTCCTTCCGTACCATTTTCTTTGTCTGGAGCTTGGAGAAGGGCAACATGGTCTAATGGACCCCACAGAGGGTTTGGCATCTGGCAGATTTGTATTTGAACCCTGGCTCTTGTTGCCCTCAAGCATTTTTTGGGCTGTGCCATGCAGCTTGTATTCTGCATATAAGTTAAATAAGCAGGGTGACAGTATGCAGCCTTGACGTACTCCTTTCCCTATTTGGAACCAGTCTGTTCTATGTCCAGTTCTAACTGTTGCTTCCTGACCTGCATACAGGTTTCTCAAGAGGCAGGTCAGGTGGTCTGGTATTCCCATCTCTTTCAGAATTTTCCACAGTTTGTGGTGATCCATACAGTCAAAGGCTTTGGCATAGTCAATAATGCAGAAATAGATGTTTTTCTGGAACTCTTTTGCTTTTTTGATGATCCATATGCAGAGTACATCATGAGAAACGCTGGGATGGAAGAAGCACAAGCTGGAATCAAGATTGCCGGGAGAAATATCAATAATCTCAGATAGGCAGATGACACCACCCTTATGGCAGAAAGTGAAGAAGAACTACAGAGCATGTTGATGAAAGTGAAAGAGGAGAGTGGAAAAAGTTGGCTTAAAGCGCAGCATTCAGAAAACTAAGATCATGGCATCTGGTCCCATCACTTCATGGGAAATAGATGGGGAAACAGTAAAAACAGTGTCAGACTTTATTTTTGGGGGCTCCAAAATCACTGCAGATGGTGACTGCAGCCATGAAATTATAAGATGCTTATTCCTTGGAAGGAAAGTTATGGCCAACCTAGGCAGCATATTAAAAAGCAGAGACATTACTTTGCCAACAAAGGTCTGTCTGGTCAAGGCTATGGTTTTTCCGGTGGTCATGTATGGCTGTGAGAGTTGGACTATGAAGAAAGCTGATCACCGAAGAATTGATGCTTTTGAACTATGGTGTTGGAGAAGACTCTTGAGTGTTGGAATGCAAGGAGATCCAACCAGTCCATCCTAAAGGAAATCAGTCCTGAATATTCATTGGAAGGACTGATGCTGAAGCTCCAATACTTTGGCCATCTGCTGCAAAGATTGGACTCATTGGAAGACCCTGATGCTGGGAAAGATTGAAGGCAAGAGGAGAAGGGGACAACAGAGGATGAGATGGTTGGATGACATCACCAGCTCAATAGACATAAGTTTGAGCAAACTCCAGGAGACAGAGAAGGACAGGGAAGCCTGGCATACTGCAGTCCATGGAGTCGTAAAGAGTCAGACATGACTTAGCCACTGAACAGCAATGACCACAACAGCGTGGAGCTTGTGGGATCTTAGTTCCCTGACCAGGGACTGAGGGATCCAACCCAGGCCTTCAGGAGTGAGAGCGCAGAGTCCTAACCACTGGGCCGCCAAGGAATTCCTTTACAAGCCTTAAACAGGTTACTCGTCTGGGTCTCAGATTCTCAGTCTGTAAAGTGATAATAATGCCTTCTATGTAGGGCTCAGCATACTATATGAAAAGTTTCTATTGCTATGCCTGGTACAGAATAATAGTGACTTTATTATCATTAATTATCCTTAAAATGATGGCTTTCCTTAAAATGACAAACTTTGGGGTTTGTCACTAGTCTTCACCACGTTTTATTCTGCATTTGTCATTCTTGCTCCTGGGGACCCTTAGGAGGATGGTGGACTTTAAAGATAAAGAGGCAGCCGTCTGTGCTTGGACGCTCACTGTAGACCAAAAGAGGACAAAACTCCTTGCATCCAAATGACTGCTGTAAGGAAACAGTACAGTTGTAAGAAACCAATCAGCACAAACTTCAAGTCAGAAATCTAGTTCTTTTTTTCTTACTGACTGTATAACCTTGAACAAACAATTTAATCTTTCTATGGCTCAGTTTCTTTACCTGTTTATACATCACAGGGTGTTGCGAGAATGAATGAGGTTAATGAGTTAAAAGTGCCTAGTACAATCTTTCGTACACAGTAAAACACACACCATCTGTGTTTCTCTCTCCTCTTAGGCAGCCTTTTTCCTGGACTCAACCTGCTGACCTAAGCGTTTACAGAGTACAGGGCACGATTAGCTAACAGGCAGATTTACATATGGGTTCCAGCTCCTATTACTTACCAGCTTTGCACCTAAAACAAAGTTACTGATCATTACATTCTTGCTTTCTTAAGTGGGACTAATACTGCTTACCTTAGAGGTATAAATACACACACTCATAGGGCTCAGAGTAGTAAATATGTGAAAGATGCAACTGTGGCTTAAGTAAACTCAATAGATTTTTAAGATCAAAGCTCTGGGTAGTTGTGCCCAAAAATGCATTTGACAGAACAGTTCAAGATCTTAACACATCTTAAAAGCAGAAACAGTAATCCTATAGTTCTGGAGCACTACCCTTTTCATTGGAATTAGTTTCTGGAAGGAAATCAAATTGTATACACTCTGATTACAGCTCTACTTTTTAATTTAAGACATTGAAAAAAAAGATTGGGAAAAAATACACCAAAATGCTGTGTATTAAACTGTGGTTGTGTTAGCTCAGGGGGCTGTGTGTGTGGTCATTTTCATCTCTTTAGTTTTCCATTTTCTTTGCACCATGGTACTTTGAAAATAGGAGGAAATTAATTTTTTAATATGTGTGGCAAAGATAGATCTGTCAGACTTGACTGTGACTGGATTCAGCTGATAAACTTTGTTGTAATTGTGTGTCTCTCAGGTATAAACCTGACTTGATTTGGTCTGATGGAGAGTGGGAATGTCCTGATACTTATTGGAACTCTACAGATTTTCTTGCTTGGCTCTACAATGATAGCCCAGTTAAGGTATGTGATTAAAAGACCTCTCTTATTTATCTGTTATGATAAAACACAATGTGAGGAGCCAAGATCTGGAGTAATAACCGTAATGACAACAGTGACAATAATAAATACTAATCTCAGGACTTCCCTGGGGATCCAGTGGTTAAGACTGCCTTCACCTTCCAATGCAGGGGGTCCAGGTTTGATCCCTGGTTGGAGAGCTAAGATCCCATGTGTCTTGAGGCTAAAAAACCAAAACATAAAACCAGAAACAATATTGTAACAAATTCAATAAGGACTTTAAGTGTAAGTAAATAAATAAATAGCAATATTGATATGGGTGTGGTAAGGACAAAGGATCTTAATGGATGTTAAAGGTTTCTCCTTTAATTCTTTTTTTTGCCCCTTCCTTTTTCTTTCTTTAAGCTGTTTTCCTTTAAGCTTTCTTTTTCTCCTTTAATTCTTGGTTTTTACAAGATAGTTTTCAAGCTTCTTAAATTTAAGTAGTAGGATAGAAATAGTATAAAGAAGCCCCAGAACACCATAGAGAAAATAAACTATTAAGCAAACAGACATTGTAAATAAGAAGACCACCCAAAAAATTAATATGCAAAACTTGTTAAATGATAGGAATAAAATGTGAATATCTATGACCTCAGCTACTCTATGTTGATTGTGTAGTTTAACTCATATAGGGAAATTTCTTTTCCCTGAGATCCAAATTCTAAGGAATTTGGAAGGAAACTTCACCTACCTTGTCCTCTCTGTCATAACCAACCTATTGCACTGCACAATAGCTGCCCGTTTATAGTTCACATTTCAAGACACAAAGTAGCAGAAGTCTTAATCTTCACTGTAGAAAATTTGAAAAATTTTACAGATTCTAGCTTTGTTGTGAATTTTAAAGAAAAACCTAAGACCAGTTTGAACTGAGCTATCTGGGTAGGTTCATAAACCTCTTAGGATGTCACTGGCTAAATATTACTAAATTCAGAAAAGGGGAAGAAAGATCCTATGTGACAAACGGAAGCAAATTCAGATTGGTTTTTTGGAACTTTGGGGCCGCGTGGGGACCTCTAGTGGTGAGATCTGGTGGTTCTTCCCCATTGTTCCCCGGGCTGGGATGGCTTAGATGTGGCTCCTCGGGTGGGACACCGCAGACCCTCTTCTGCCCACTCTTGTTCTGAGTGCTTTCTCATGCGTTAGGAAAGAGGGTTGTCATATACTCATGTTAGGAAATGACTTTTAGGAGAAGTAGACCCTGATCCTTACCCCTCTGCTGTCTGTAATTCCCACTCCTGACCTCTCTGCAGGTTTTCTTGGGAGGTCACACCTTCCCCACCACCCTATCTGAAATTGCAGCATGCCCCCACTGCGCTATGTGTCTTTCCTTGCCTTATCTTCCTCTTAACCACCTACCTGGCCCAACATATTTCAGATGCCATTTACCTCGTTACTATGTCTCCCTCACTGAAGCATCACCTTTGCGAGGGCAAGAATTTGGGTCTGTTCATGCCTACGTCCCCAACTCCAGGAACAGTCCTTGGCCCAGTTAGACACAGAGTGAATACTGGTGGAATATAAACTAAATCTGGCTCCCGGCAATTTATATTCTTCCCTGGAAGAAGCAAGAAACACTCCTGAACTGGTGTTTAGGTGAATTCCCTAACGCTGATGTGATGTCACATCATAACTGTCCACGTGTATGTCTCAGCTAGTCGTGGCTGGACCTCTGAGGGCAAGAGGTGTGACTTGTTTACTCTGGATACCCCAGTATGAGCCCCATAGAGGTGTTCAACGTTGACATTAAGTGATTTCATGTAAAGAGTTCTCGAAGTTCAGCAAAACCTTGAGGGAAGGAAAAGAATGTTTGATTACTGACTTCGCCTTACTTAGGTAAAGAAAGTCAGGGTTATATACTGAAAAGCATCCTGGGCTGGGTTCAAAAACCAGATTCATAGTCTCAGCTTTCAGAAACTCTGCCTGGGAATGTGATCTCGGGCAGATCTCCTCTGCATTTCTCTTGTTAGAATCAGTGGTTTACTAGATAATCTAAACAGGCCCTTCCAGTTCTGACATTACATATTGCTAGACCGGGGTTAACTGCAAATAACGTTTGGAGTTGGATATTTCTTTGTTGTGAAGGGACAGTTTTCTGTGTTGTAAGATGTTTGCAATTTTTTTTTTTCCCCACACCATGCGACCATGCGGGATCTTAGTTCCCAGACCAGGGATCAAACCCCTACCCCCTGGCAGTGGAAGTAGGGATTCTTAACCACCTGACAGCCAGGGGATTCCCTTGTAACGTGTGTAGAAGAATCCTTGGTCTCCGCCCACTAGAAAGCAGTAGCCCCACCCCGAGTTGTAACCACCAAAAAAAGTCTCTAGATTTCGCCCTTTAAGTCTCCCCCAGTTGAGAACCACTGTGCTCAACTGAGTCTGCTCCTTGCTTCCAAACAGCCACCTAATTTATCAAACTGAGTTAGATAGCTTTACCCCCATGACCTCAGTACTCCTTCCTTCTTTAGGATGAGGTTGTAGTAAATGACCGATGGGGTCAGAACTGTTCCTGTCACCATGGAGGATACTACAACTGTAAAGATAAATTCCAGCCAGAGACCTTGCCAGATCACAAGTGGGAGATGTGCACCTCCATAGACCAGCGGTCCTGGGGCTACCGTCGCGACATGGAGATGGCTGACATTGCAAGCGAATCCACAATCATTTCGGTAAGAGGTGGTTATTTGTTAACTGCAGTCCTAGTCTGCCTTCTGACAAAGAGTCGTGGAAGCACTCCAGATAGATACGTGGGCCGTGGAAACCCGTTTGGGTTTTTGAACATACTCATAACACTTGTCCTAAGGAGACAGGTCTAATTACAGAAGAGTTCTGTACAAAGGTGTTCTCCCCAGGATTATTTTCAGATTGACGTTGCTGCTGCTGCTGCTAAATCACTTCAGTCGTGTCCGACTCTGTGCGACCCCATAGACAGCAGCCCACCAGGTTCCCCCATCCCTGGGATTCTCCAGGCAAGAACACTGGAGTGGGTTGCCATTTCCTTCTCCAGTGCATGAAAGTGAAGTCGCTCAGTCGTGTCCGACTCTTAGCGACCCCATGGACTGCAGCCCACCAGGCTCCTCCGTCCATGGGATTTTCCAGGCAAGAGTATTGGAGTGGGGTGTCATTGCCTTCTCCGTCAGATTGACGTTGGGCTGTTTCAATTCCTGGCAACCATCAAGGAATAATTCAGTAGATTTGGGATGTAATATGGATTAATGCTTACAGGGTTGATGAAAAGACAAGTTATATAGTATCACAACAATATAGAATTAACCGCACAAGAAAAAGACCAGAAGGAAACATCAAAAGTTAATGGTGTGGTGTCTTTGGGGTACTCTAAAAAAAACCTCCTTTTAAAAATTTTATGTATATAGTCTTAATTTTTCTGGACTTCCTTGAAGTGCTACTGTATGGGGTCACAGTAAACACACACACACATGCATCCCACCCCAGAAAACTTAAAGACTATATCTCTTTACAGCATGTTTTCCTGAAGGGGCAACATACACATTTATATAGCCCAGGGTATCCTGAAATTCATCAGATCTCTTCCACACCTCCCCGCCCGCCTGCCCCCCCATCCCAAGTCTCCATAGCACCTGCTCTAAACCTCTCATCTCTAATCTCTGTATTCTCTCTGGCTGGCTCCACAGAATCATTTCAAGGCCAAGTGCTTTGTTTTCAGCTCCCTGGCTGACACTCTGGGCTTCTGATATCTGATACACTTCCCTCTGCATATGGCACTATGGCAGGTGCCAGCTCACGGGTAAGAGCCCATGATCACTCCCTGGAATCCGAGTTAATATATCTCTCAACCTTGTAGCAGAATTTTTCAATTTTCTCATGTAAGCCTATCCTGCTATGAAAATGACAAAAATATACTGTCTTTTCCAAAAGATAGAGGATATTCACAAAACACAGGGAAACCAGCCTAGATTCTCCTTCCCTTCATCTGTGTGTGTTAAGCATTCAGCCAGGCTTGGCATTCAGAGCTGGGATTTCCTTGTTTTCTGCTCCCACCAGGAACTAGTTCAGACAGTAAGTTTGGGAGGCAACTATCTTCTCAACATCGGACCAACCAAAGATGGACTGATTGTTCCCATCTTCCAAGAAAGGCTACTTGCTGTTGGGAAGTGGCTGAGCATCAATGGAGAGGCTATCTATGCCTCCAAACCATGGAGAGTACAATCTGAGAAGAACTCTGTGTGGTGAGTCTAGTCTGTTACAGGTAGGAACAGGGGTGGCCCATCCTGAGCAGGCAACCCCTTGGGTCCACAGTGGTACAAGCCAGGCTTGGGACTCATCTGGAGGAAACACAAAAGCTGTTCTGTGATATTAAATGTGTGCCCAGGTTTATGTTTTAGGCCCCAGGGTATCTTTGACTAGTGAGGGAGGTGGTAGGTTTGGTGAAGAAAGAAAGAGCTACAAAGTATCAGTCAATTTGCTCAACCCCTAAAAACAGTCATAGCTAATATTTGAACAGCACCCACATGTGCTGGACTCTATCCTAAATTCTTTCCCCTCATTTAGTTCCCCCAACAATCTCACTGAGCGGATAATGTCACTATCCCCAGGTTACAAGGAGAAAGCAGGTTCAGGGCAGTAATCATTGGCCCAGAATTATGAAGCTACTAAGCAAAGAAGGCATGATTCATCTTTGGCATTGTGGATCTAGTTATTTGATCTCAGGCTTCAGTTTTTTTTGTTTCCAACTGCAAAATGGGGTGGTGATACCTAGCTTCCTAGAGTGTTAGGATTAAATAAGCTAATGTATGTAAAGTACCCAGCAGAGTGCCAGGCACATACTAACTGCTCAATGAAAGACCTCTGCAAATGTTATAACTCAGAGCTGGGGGCTTTGAATCAGGAGAAACACATTCATGGTTCTGTTTTGGATGAGTTTCTATTTAGTGATTTTTTTCACCCTCTTCTATAAGCATGGGCTTCCGTGGTGGCTCAGATGGTGAAGAATCTGCCCACATTGAGGGAGATCCAGGTTCAATCCCTGGGTTGGGAAGATCCCCAGGAGAAGAGAATGGCTACCCACTCAAGTATTCTTGCCTGAAGAATTCTGTAGCTAGAGAAGCCTGGCGGGCTGCAGTCCATGGGATTGCAGAGTTGGACATGACTGAGTGATTAAACACAGCATGCACAGTTAAGTTCTGTGGGAATAATGCAGCCCTGGAAGACTCTTTCTGGGCGGTATCTTCCCTTTCCTCTCTGTTTGGGGTTCTAAGTTTTCTTAAAACATTTTTTAACTCATACTAGTGACCCATACTGAAGCCATCTTCCTCATTATTCATCTCTTTTCAATTTTAAATCCATATGAAAACATCTGAGGGTATATCAAGGGCAAGATGTGAAATGAAGACAAATTTGAATTCCTTTCTAAAATTTAAAATTTTTGGTCATCCCACATGGTTTTGGGGATCTTTAGTTCCCTGATCAGGGATCAAACCAAGGCCGATGGCAGTGAAAGCATCTAGTTCTATCCACTGGGCCACCAGGGAAATTCCCAAGACATCTGTTGTGCTGAGATTTCACCATGCTTAAAGAAAGTGAAAGTTGGGGGAAACAAGAAAGTGAAAGTATTAGTCACTCATCGTGTCCAGCTCTTTGCGACCCCATGGACTGTAGCCCACCAGGCTCCTCTGTCCATGGGATTCTCCAGACAAGAATGCTATAGTGGGTTGCCATGCTCTCCTCCAAGGGATCTTCCCAACCTAGGGATCTTCCCAACCTAGGGATCGAACCCAGGTCTCCTGCATTGCAGGCAGATTTTTTACTGTCTCATCGCCAGGGAAGCCCAAACCCTAACTGGTTTCGAGTTATTTGCTTGCTAGCAGCAATGACAGACTGAAGGGCTTGAAATTGGCAGATAATCGCAAGGGGAATATATAAGGTCATGTGGCAGGATAATAAGCCAGGTATCTTTGACAATGATGTTTCTTTTTTCCCAGGTATACCTCTAAAGGATTAGCTGTTTATGCCATTTTACTGCACTGGCCAGAAGATGGAATCTTAAGCCTTATATCCCCCATAACTACTTCAACCACAGAGGTAAAGAGCCTCCATCAGTCCTGTCGGAGATGTAACTCTTTGTAAAGGAATTGGCGGGCCTTCTCTAAACCTTCCTTCCTCCCCCAGGTTTCTCCTGTTTTCATTTCCCTTCTGGCCTGTCTTCCCCACCCTGGCCCAGGGTAGTTGTTTGCCACCACATTCAGGCCATATTCTATGCTCATCAATGCATTCGTGTTTTTCCCATTCCCTTTTGCTTTCTGCAGGTAACGATGCTGGGAATCCAAAATGATCTGAAGTGGTCCCCAAATCCAGGTAAAGGTCTCCTCGTGTTCCTGCCCCAGTTACCACCCTCTGCTCTTCCAACTGAGTTTGCTTGGACCATAAAGCTGACAGGAGTGAAGTGATCATTGGAGTTCAAGAAGAAAGGGACACCGCCTGCACTTTGATTTTCCTCTTATATTGCCATCATTATAATAAATGACTCTTCTCTACTCAGACATATCTTTTCCAACACATTTTAATAAATGGAATGGATTACGTTACACTGATGTCTCACAGGATCAAAGATCTGAGATCCAGTGCTAGCATCTCTCTCTCTGATCAATAGAAGAGACTGAACAGTTAAGCTCATCCATTTCTAACATTGGGAATTATCTGCAATGGAAACTTCCCTCCATCCTCTGTTTCATAACCTGATTGCTTATTCAAATGACTTCAAGAATAAGCCAAGTCATCCCATTGCCTATGGGAGGTGCTGAAAAGGATTTGGCAGACTCCACTATACGCTATTTATTTAGCATCAGCTGTCACCAGCTACTCCCATCTTCCCCCAATAGCAGGAGAGCCTAGAGGGGAAAGAAAATGCTTCCAAGGCTGCTAATAGTCAGCTTTTTAGAAGTTTCCAAAGCAGACTAAGAGCTCTGACATTCAGTCTGTTTACAGGGATTCTATGAAGAAAATGAATGTGATTCTGCCTTGATGTAACACAGTCAAATAAATTTGTATGTCAAATCATTTTCTACTAAAAAGCATGTTGTAGCTTTCTTCTTCCAGTTTCTATATGGACTGCTTATAGCCTTATGTTTCTGTTTAAAAAGAAAAAAGAAAAGTAGAAGGGGTGGTACCTGCCAAGTCTCCTTAATGCAGAGCAAAGAAAGTCATCCCTTTGGTTCTTCTGCTCCTCACTTCTAGTCCCATTCTTTTGAGTTGACCAGGTGGCATCAGTGGTAAAGAACCCACCTGCCAATGCAGGAGACGTAAGAGACGCAGGTGTGACCCCTGGGTTGGGAAGATCCCCTGGAGAAGGGATTGGCCACCCACTCCAGTATTCTTGGACTTGCCTAGTGACTCAGATGGTAAAGAATCCGCCTGCAACGCGGGAGACCTGGTCTTGATCCCTGGGTTGGTAAGATCCTCTGGAGGAGGGTGTGGCAGCCCACTCCAGTGTTCTTGTCTGAAGAATCCCACGGACAGGAGCCTGGCGGGCTGCAGTCCATGGGGTCTCAAAGAGTCGGACACGACTGAGCTGCTAAGCGCAGCACAGCACGGCACTCAGCACATGCCTGCATCTACTCAGTCTCTTTAATTGTTTCAGATCTAATAAAGGTTTCTATCTCTTTTTTATTTACTAGATGTATTTGGAAACCCTTAGCCTATATTTACAGAAAATTTGTTTTTCTCAAGCATATGTGTATGAAACATTTACAAATGTGAATACCAAAGAAGTAATATCATAAGGACTGTATCATATGTCTGTAACATAAAGGACCATAAAAACTTGAAGGAAAAACTAATATGTTTAGAAATGTTAAAACACACTTTTAAATATTTATTGATCAAAGAAAGCACAAGAAAATTAGAAATCTCTTATAATGATAATGAAAACGCTGTGCATTGAAACTTGTGAAATGTAGCTTTTAAGAAAAATTGCTTTAGAGAGGGTTCCAGGAAGATGGCAAAGAGGAAGCACCAAGAATCTATTTCCTCACCTAGAAAACAATTTCACTGGCAGAATCTGATGTAACTTTTGAAACTGGAAGCTACTGAAGGCTTGCAATTTCTAGAGGAATACCTGGACGGTAAATTATGGTTAATTCTGGTCAGTTTCAGCTACCCATCCCTCATCCCTAATCATGGAGTACACAGCTGTGCGTGTGTTCCTGGAACAATTTGCATATAGTCTATGAGATCAAGATGGGCAAAAGACCCTGTCTTCCAAATATCAGGGATTTGGGCTCTTTTTGTTTGGGGGGGGGGGGTGGATTTGTGCTCTTGACTGCTGCTTTTGATCACAGAGGTGCAGGCGAGAGGTGGACAAACCATTGTACCTTTCCCGTTGTTGCAAACCCCTCCTCCAATAGCTAAAGTAACTTACAGTGGACTTAAAGGGCTGGTGCTCATTCCCCACCCCCAGTTTCCTTTTTTTCCCCCTTCTGGGAGCTAGACATTAAAGGTTAGGAAGTCCAACAACTGCTCATATGGGAAATATTAGAAAGTGACCATGTCTGCCTGTGGAAAGAGTCAGGAAAAGGCCTGAGAAGACCTTAAGTTTACACCTCTGACTTAGCCTTGGCACAGAGACGACCTACAACAATCAACAAGGAAAAAAGCAATGGACAAAAACAGTAACAAAAAAACCCAGCAAACCCTGGGGAAGGAGAATCTGGACTTCCAGAGTTGCTACATTATTAGATTCAAATGTCCAGTTTTCAACAACAACAAAAGTCACAAGACATACAAAGGGACATGAAAGTATGACCCACTCAAAAGGAAAAAGTAAATCAACAGAAACTTCCTGGAAAAGACCTGATGGCAGATATACCAGACAAAGACTTAAAAAGAACTCTTTTTAAAATGCTCAAATAACTAAAGGAAAATGCAGAGAAAGTAAAGAAAAGGATGTATGTGTGACATGAATATATCAATACAAGGAAAATGTAACAAAAATTCTGGAGCTGGAAAGTAAAATACTGAAATGAAGATTTCACTAAAGGAATTCAAGGGCAGATTTGATCAGGCAGAAAAAAGAACAGCAATAAGACAGTGGAAATTATTGAGTCTGAGGAACATAAAAAAAGATAGAAAAGAAATACCATCTATTTGGCCGTGAATTAGTCTCAGTAGATTTATTAAATATGTATTTTTCAGAGTATCTTCTGTGACCACAACTAAATGAAGCTCTGGGGCTTCCCAGGTGGCTCAGTATTAAAGAATCTGTCGGCCAAGGCAGGAGCCACAGGAGACTCGGGTTTGATCCCTGGGAGGGGAAGGTCCCCTGAAGGAGGAAAGGGCAGCCAACCCCAGTATTCTTGCCTGGAAAATCCCATGGACAGAGGAGCCTGGTGGGCCACAGTCCATAGGGTAGCAAAGAGTCAGACACAAGTGAGCGACTAAGCAGGCACACAAGTGAAGTCCAATGTCAGTAACAGGAAAAACTGGAAAACTCACAAACCTGTGGAAGTTAAACCATGTAACTCCATCAAAGAGACCACAAAGAAAATTAGAAAATACTTAGACATGAATGAAAGCAAAAACACAACATACCAAAACTTATGGGACCCAGAAAAAGCAGTGCTGAGTAGGAAATTTATTGGTATAAACACATTTCAAAAGAAGAAGAAGATGTAATTAGCCTCCAACTAATAAAAATAAATGAAAAAAATTTAAAAAAAAAGAAGAAAGATTTTAAATCAACAACCTAACTGTAGAATGGAAGGAACTAGAAAAACAACAAACTAAAACCAGTTAGCAGAAAGAAGGAAACAAAGATTGGAGCAGAGATTAACAAAAAAATATAAAAGCAATAGAGAAAATCAACAAAACCAAAAATTGATTCTTTTTTAAGAAATTGAAATAACAAGCTTGTAGCTAAGTACTAATAATTGGTGAAGACTCAAATTACTAAAATTAGAAATGAAAGTGGGGACATTACTACTAATTCTACAGAAGAATTATAAGAACTATGAACAACTGTATACCAGCAAATAGGATAACCTAGATGAATGTGGACAAACTCCTAGAAACACGAAATCTACCAAGACTAAGTAATGAAGAAATAGAAAAATATGAATACCATACAAACCTTTAAGTTGTAAACCAGGAGTGAGATGGGGCGCCAAGTGTCACTGTTAATATTCAGTGTTGTTTGGGTTGGAAGGTCCTCATAGATGCAGTAAAACAAGTTAAAAAAAAGAAAACAGAGATCTAAGAATCAGACAAAATGAAACTACACTATCATTGTTCTTGGATGATGTGATTGTTCACATAGCAAACTTCAAAGAATACATACAAATAAATCATTAGAATTAGGTAAATTCCCTGGTCGTCCAGTGATTAGGGCTTGTTGCTTTCACTGCGGGGACCCAGGTTCTACCTCTGATAGGGGAACTAAGATCCCACAAGCTATGTTCAGTTCAGTTCAGTCGCTCAGTTGTGTCCAACTCTTTGCAACCTCACAGACCGCAGCACACCAGGCCTCCCTGTCCATCACCAACTCCCGGAGTTTCCTCAAACTCATGTCCATTGAGTTGGTGATGGCATCCAACCATCTCATCCTCTGTCATCCTCTTCTCCTCCTGCCTTCAATTTTTCCCAGCATCAGGATCTTTTCCAATGAGTCAGTTCTTCACATCAGGTGACCAAAGTATTGGAGTTTCAGCTTCAGCATCAGTCCTTCCAATGAATATTCAGGACTGATTTCCTTTAGGATGCACTGGTTGGATCTCCTTGCAGTCCAAGGGACTCTGAAGAGTCTTCTCCAACACCACAGTTCAAAAGCATCAATTCTTCAGCGCTCAGCTTTCTTTACAGTCCAACTCTCATATCCATACATGACTACTGAATTTTTCCAGTTTCTGGTTTTCCATAGCTTTGACTCAACAGACCTTTGTTGGCAAAGTAACGTCTCTGCTTTTTAATATGCTGTCTAGGTTGGTCATAACTTTCCTTCCAAGGAGTAAAGCGTCTTTTAATTTCATTGCTGCAGTCACCATCTGCAGTGATTTTGGAGCCCCCCCCAAAAATAAAGTCTCTCACTGTTTCCCATCTATTTCCCATGAAGTGATGGGACCAGATGCCATGATCTTAGTTTTCTGAATGTTGAGTTTTAAGCCAACTTTTTCACTCTCCTCTTTCACTTTCATCAAGAGGCTCTTTAGTTCTTCTTTGCTTTCTGCCATAAGGGTGATGTCATCTGCCTATCTGAGATTATTGATATTTCAATAATCCAGCAATCTTGATTCCAGCTTGTGCTTCATCCAGCCCAGTGTTTCTCATGATGTACTCTGCATGTAAGTTAAATAAGCAGGGTGACAATATACAGCTTTGATGTACTCCTTTCCCGATTTGGAACCAACCTGCGGGATGTGGCCAAAAAAAAGTTATTAGAATTAATAAGATACTTTAG